CCATGGATAACCATAGATAGCCATAAATAACTTTGCTTAAAAATGCCAAGATGCCCAGGCTATAAACTGCACTACTGCATGTCTATTCAATAACCATGATAACTACAATAACTGGTTATTTATATTTTTTAAGCACATTAAAGCCCCCTATATATTGCCAGGTCTATACTGTACACATGTACATTGTACATGCATTAATTATTGTGTGTTAGTATAATACCTTCTTCAGTCTCTCTCCTGGTTTGACTGATACTAGCAGTAGAGGAGCCTGAGCTAATAGTGACTAAAATGGAATATAATAGAATGTCACACAATTACTACTAACTATTTGAAGAAATAGCTGGTGGAAGAGTAGATCTGTTGGTTGTCGTAGAACCTATATTGAATTGAAATAATTATAATAGACAATTTCATGCACACATAATACTTTAATTTATAACGAAACTATCAATTCTTCTACTTAAAAGTGCAACATTTTGACTTTACCTACATACAGCTGCTCTCGATCAATATGACCACCTTTCATTTCTACTATTAACATTATTAATTATTAACAGATTTCATGGAAATTCCTCTTTAGCTTAAATCACTCACTGATCAGCATAACAAGTGTTACATTCAATACACACACACACAGTCAATACTAATACAATCAGTGATATTAACTTACTCTCTTGATCTAACTTGTCAGCTGCAGCATTCTCATTCATTAAGAGCATCTGACAGTGAGTCAAAGGTAGCTCCTCCTTTACTGTCAACACTATCAGCTCTGGACAACCACTTGGAGAGAGTCTCTGTCAAGCATCGAGATACATCTCCAGGATGATTCTTTCCAATGGCGTCCAGTGTGTTCTTGTCATGTCCAGCAATGAGTGGACGCGGATTAGTATACTGAGCAATTATCTCCGTATACTACTGGTTGACTTTATACAGGGCAGGAATGGACATTTCCATTTACTAGGCTATATCTTTCTTCAGAATAATTCTCAATAGCTGGACATGTGTAGTCCTAGTGTCAGTCCCAGCTCATACCATCTTGTCTGAGGGAAACCACATCTCCTTAACAGATCAAGTACATCAATAAGTTGATCTAAAATCATATTCAATGATACATAGATAGTTAATGAACATTACCAATAGTCAAAGGAGAAGAGAAGCAGGGGCGTATCTAGGAATTGGGAAAGGGGGTGCTAAGGGCGCGCGAAGCGCGCCGCGATTTTGGCCACACCCACTTTTACGGCGGTAAAATGGCCTTTTCCTGCATTTTCGTCAATTACGGGTGGGGCCAAGATCATTTCAAGCATACTGCTATG